GTATCCGGATGGTTTAGAAAGATTTACCAAATTGCCGAGGGACACAGGCAACGGCGGAATGGTTCGCCTATATAACTTAGTGAAGCATAACACAAATTTGACCAATAAAACTAATAAAATAGATAGGTCGCGTGATTGGGTTAGCGATAAACTTTTCTCGCGCGCGCTTCAACATTAAATTTGAGATCAATATTATGTAGCATCTTTACTTAAGCGTACCGACACCGCCTGAACCTAAGCGCTCGTATAGCAGATCAACCAGAGTCAAGGCCATCGAGCTCATGACTTCTATGAGTGACTGCAACGTTGCCGAAGAACTTAGCATCCCACGCAGAACTATACGATACTGGGTACAGGGAACGATGGAAATCCTTCCCCCAAGGTACTTGAGAAATATCTTGAAATTTGTATGAGAAAAACATACTTGGACTGTTGATTTTTCAGAAAATAATATTCTGTTGACCTTTCTGAGTTGCGCGAACACACCGCCGTCAATGGTCAAAATTTTGCATATTTTCGCCCACGCCCGAGCTGTTGCGACTAAAAAACTGTTATGAGTACTATCAGTACTTGCAACTTGTTAATACTACACCTTTTCCCGGCCAAAATGGCCACACTGGCAATCAATGTGGTTCGTTGAGCCGAACTCACTCGGACCATGGTAATATCTCGCGCCTTCGTGCAATCAAAGTGGTTTCACGTGCAATCAATGTGGCGCACCTTTACAAAAATATAAGTTATAAATTTTATGAGTTCATGTTGGCGCGCGCGCGATTTGCAATTGAACACGTGTGCGGTCAATATGCCGACGACCCAATAGAAGGAGCGACTCCTCGCTGCCTTCCATGGCTTTGACGATTGGAAAACCGTTGCCAAAATCAACGGCATCGCCATGACTACAGCAAGGCGAATCATTAAAACAAACCGAACGACATCTCTTCCGCGTGGCGGGGCCAGGCCATCACGGACTGTTGTGACACCGGCGATATTGGAGACATTAGAGGTGCATCTCAACCAATGTTGTACACTAACTCTAAGTGAACTTCAATCTCTCCTTATGATTGAGTTCAATGTCGCCGTGTCAACGTCAACGGTTGCAAGAAAGCTCGACGGCATGCTTTACACGATCAAGAATACGCGCATCGAGCCGGCTGCGTGCAACATCGGCGTCAACAAGGCAAAGCGAAAGGCTTTTGCGGACAATATTCTCCAACAAATATTGCTGACGACAACAACATAGTCTATTTTGATGAGACTAACTACAACCTCTACTACAAGCGCTCCAAGGGCCGTGCCAAGCGCCGTCAGCGAGCGATTGAAAAGATGCCTGCATCGAAGGGGCCAAACATTCAAGTGCAGTGCGCAGTGTCGTGCCATGACGGGCTCATTGAACATAGCGTACAACGCGGCATTCGAATGGAGGAAAACGCTGCTTTTGTGGAGACCATCTACAACAATGTCAAGTTGATGCCTCACTATCAACGAACGTATGCCGACAAGAAAATTGTCATCGTCTTCGACAACGCTCCGTGCCATTCGCAAACTGGGTGGCCGAACACGAAGATCTTGTCCTTCTTCGCCTCGCACCGTAGTCACCAATGTGCAATCCTATCGAAGGTTGCTTTAGCTCTTTGAAGTCCAAGATCAAGTCTTACCTGGCGATGCGGCACCGCCAAATGATGGAGGTTGTCGAATTTGCCACTCTTACGCAAGCTCGAATGGCCTTGCTTGAAGCTGCTCTGCAAGATTCGGTGAGCTGCATCACACCTGAACTGGTGTTAAGGCATTTCGTGCACTCACTCCGTTTCGCCGAGGCTACCAACCGAATGGAGGACATGCAGTTCGGAATGTAATTGAAATAATATCATGCATTTGTGTAATGTTTATTAAATTTGCGCAACTTTGATTGCACATAATACCACTTTGATTGCACTAAGTTTCCAAATTGCCACAATAGTCCAA